GCTTTGTATGACAGAATCACAGATGGGACTCAGTGTAGAAACAGTTGAACCGTAATGCATTTATTATTGACCAAGGAGCAAAGCAAATAATTCTCAATAATGTACACATGATTGCTTCTATCTTTATAAATGCCAGGCCATGGAACATGCCTGAAAACCCTAATACTGTAGCTTTATATACTTCTGTAGGAAACCCTAGCTATTGCCCCTCCAAACTTGCAAAACAGATGATTTCATTGGCACCCATATTATAAGGTTGCCTGTTTGGTGTCTCAAAGCAGCAAAGGACTGAAAATAAATTATTAGATATCTAAAGTCCTTAGCCTGCTCAAGCTGATCATTGTTAACATTCCAATTAAAGAGATACTGCATCTAGCTGGAGATTATGAGCGGCTTTGTTTTAGAATAATTGATTTCTAGTTTTGGATCATAGCAACATGATGGTAGTGCTTGTAAACAATGCCAAAGCCAATCTGCATGCAGCTAAAATAATGGTATCATCTGCATACAAAAGTAGGGAGATGAGGCTGTGGGCCAGAATTCAGTTATGGAATTCACGTTTGGCAGAGCTTGTAAAATGTCCTTAAAATAAACAAATAAAAAGGCCAGGATATGTATCTTTGCTTAACTCTACTTTAAGTGGTCATTGGGCCTGTCAAGTCACCACCATCCAAGATTGAGAGCATTTTAATGTTTGTAAGCCATCCAGAGTTGCCTCTGATGAGATGGGCGGCACATAAATTTAGTACATAAATATGTAAATAAATACATAAATATCCATGAAACATGATTTATTTTATTTGTAAAATTTACCAGCCAACCAGCTTGCCACACAATTAATTCTCGATGGCTTACAATATTATTATCAACTGGAAGATGTGAGGCAGGTCAGTTGGTGAAGCACACCAAACTACCTCTACTGGTAAATCCTTGGTATTCCATCCTTACTCATTTGTGACCCCTAACTCTTTTTGTTTTGCTACCTATTCTCCTCAGGTGCCTTCACTGCCTTCAATTTACTTTCCTTCTTTCTCCTCATTTTCTTTTGCAATTAACAAAGTTCCCAAATCCTGTAGTTATATGCAACCATATTAACACTTCTTTCATCAAAAGTTAATTGCTCTCAACAGAATACCTGCTACCTTTCTACCATCACATATTCTTTATCATCTGTAACATTCCATCAGGAACTATGTTTCACCAGATTAAAGCACTAGATGGAGCTCTGGTGATAGGATTTTAGTTCCGCTGAAAGTGGGATTCATGAAAGGAAAAAGGAAAAATAAAAAGTGCCTTCCAGAAAGTCGTGACTCCTAGCAATTGCCTGGACCAGTCCCTGCAGTTTTCTTGGTAAGATTTCTGAAGTGGTTTGCCATTACCTGCTTCCTAGGATTGTGTTTTAGCATGTTATTGAGTTATGTAAGATAAAATAAGGCAAAAAATACGAAAGTAAATAGAAAAGCAGGGGGGGGGAGAGAAATGAGGAAGGGTTGGGGGGAAAAAAGAAGTGTTGACTTCCGACTCCCTCTGTTGCAGTAAAATAAAGCATTAACATCAAACCACAGCTTTTTGTTTTTTCACAGTAATATAAACTAGCCATTTCTATAAGGATCTATCAATCTAATTGGTAAAACCCAAGTTCAAAGTTTCATTCTTTTCCACTTTAAGCACAAAGTTAAGAATTGATCTCTATGTGGAAACAAAAGTACTTATATTCTTTTCTTTAATCAAAATAGTGTTGCCATTTCGGCCAATTCCATCAGCTTCTGCAGCCATTAGTCCATGGTGGGAATTGAAGTATCCTTCCATTTTTGTGTGTATAATAATCTTGCTGCTGTCAACATATATAGAGTCAAAATTCCATTTTCTCTCTCTAAGTCTTTTTCCATTAGACCCAAAAGGAAATTTTCTGGTATCATCTTTATCTTCATTTTCAGAATTTTCTGTAATAAAATATGAATCATGCTTCAAAATTTCATTGCTTTATCACATGTCCACCATAAATGATAAAAAATTGCCTTCTTTACTTTTACACTTCCAATAGTCATCTGACATACCTTTATATATCTTAGATAACTTATCTGGTGTTAGATACCAACAATACATCATCTTATAAACCTCTTCTTTTAAATTATAATTTCGTGTATATTTTAAACCCTTTGTCCACATATTTCACATATCCAAAATTCCTTGGCCACTGAATCATGCAGTGTTTTTACATGTTTACTTTCCAAATTCAATTTCAATAACATTTTATAAATCTTATATCACCCTGCCAACAATTGAGGCCTTTGAACTATGATGCTGGAGAAGACTCCTGCGAGTCCCTTGGACTGCAAGGCGATCAAACCACTCAGTCCTAGAGGAGATCAACCCTGACTGCTCTTTAGAAGGCCAGATCCTGAAGATGAAACTCAAATACTTTGGTCACCTAATGAGAAGGAAGGGCTCACTGGAGAAGAGCCTAAGGCTGAGAAAGATTGAGGGCAAAAGAAGAAGGGGACGACAGAGAATGAGGTGGCTGGATGGAGTCACTGAAGCAGCAGGCATAAGCTACCAAGATGGTAGAGGACAGGAAGGCCTGGAGGAACGTTGTCCATGGGGTTGCAATGGGTCGGATATGACTTCACAACAACAACAAATCTTATAAATCTTATTCTAGGATTGAGAGAGAGTGGCTGGTCCAAGGTCACCCAGCTGGTTTTGTGCCTAAACTTGGACTAGAACTCATGGTATCCTCGTGTCACAATTCTCACTCTTCTCAAATTGTTCAAGGTGTTGAGAGGAAAGTCTTATTTCTATTAACCCCTACACTGTTCAAATTCACAAAGAATGTACCTGTCTGTTCCTGAAATGTCCAAATACACTGAACAGCTGAAAGCTTCACAAGATCCAATGTCTTGAATAGAGAAGAAAGCTTACTGAAGCTTTCTAAGAGCAAAGCTGGGCAGATGAGAAAGTGAATTGAGGTTTTAAAATTATGCCTATGAGGCTGTTGAAGCAAATACAGGTAGTCCTCGACTTATAATCACTCATTTAGGGACTCTGCTCTTTATTATAAATAATAAATTATATAATAGTCCAGAGGTGGTATTCAACTGGTTTGGACTGGTTCACCCGAACCAATAGTGGAAATTCATGGGTGGGCCTGCCCACCCACCCCTATGCCGTCCTATTTAGGCATGTTTTTGAGGCCGGGCACATGCGCAGAAAGCACACTTGCAAGCAAAGTGCATGTATGGAAGTTTTGGGCGCATGCACAGAAGGGACACGTGTGCCCGTGAACCACGCAGGTGCACGTGCAGTGATGGTAACAAAAATGTGAAACCCACCGCTGTAATAGTTCTTTATCATAGGTTGCAGTGTCGCGAAGTCACATTTGCAACCTTCTAACAAGCAAAGTCAACGGGGAAGCCAGATTCACTTAACAACCTTGTTACTAACTTAACAACTTGTTCTGACCCCCCCTCTTCACACACCAAAGCACGCCGAGACAAAGATACTTCAAGGATTTATTCACACACAGACTAGCCCTTGACAGCAATCCAGCACAGACCAGACCTTCGCAGCAATCCAGCACAGACTAGATGTTGGCAGCAATCCAGCACAGACTAACCTTGGCAGCAATCCAGCCTGCCAAGCTAGCCACAAGAGTTCTCCAGCTCTAGTAAATACGTTGACTCCTGCAATGAGCGTGTGGACAATCATTCCTTTTATAGTCTTGAGAGGAGCCTAATTACCACCAGCTGAGTGCAGTTATCTCCTGTAACGGCACAACTGTTCTTTACGCCTATTAGCTCTCCAGTGCCGGGCATCCAGGTCCAAGTCTCTTGTCTCCTCCCCACTGCTCCAATGCATGATGTCAGGATCACACTCCCTTGTCTCCTCCCCACTGGTCCAAGGCTCCGGCGCCTCCTGGCGCAGAGGTCAACCAGCCTCTCTGCGCCCTGCTCGGAGTCGGAACCCTGTCCAGGGTCCTCCACATCCTCCAGAGCCGNGATGGAATCCGGAAGAGACCTAACCTGTGAGATCTGATCGGTCTGAGGGAGGTAATCGGCAGGAGGCGGTCTCTCAGGTTGGGTCAAATATAGGCAGGTGGGCCCTCCGAAGCACCGTACCAGGGCATACCCCCTGTAACCCACCACTGATTGCTACCGTTGTTAAGTGAATCGTGTGGTCATTAAGCGATCCCGGCTTCTCTCACTGATTTTACCTGTCGGATGAGTTGGTTGCCAAAGGGAATCTCAAATGGCTGGGGTGCTACAACTGTCGTAAACACATGTCAGTTGCCGAGTGTCCAGATAGCTAGCTCTTGACTTACAACAGTTTGTTTAGGGACGACGGCACTGGAAAAAGTGACTTAGGGCCATTTGTTCACAGTTACAACCTTTGCAGCATCCCTCCTGGACATGTAATCAACATTCAGATGCTTGGCAGATGGTTCATATTTACGACCGTTGCTGGGTCTCAAGGTTCAAAGGGAATTCCTCTCCCGCAAAGTCCCAGCCAACAGTCTCTCATGAGATTTCACAACTACAGACCTTTATCAGGCTTGGAGAGCTGCCAGGCCGATATCTTCCAAACACCATGCGGTAGCAGCAATTACTTGTCAGGAACTGATCTTCACCTTAATGAATTGAACTAATTGTCTCCTGCAAACTCCCCTCCCTGTTCGCTCCTCTTTGTTCCCTATGGGGTGGACCCATTCACCGTCCACCTGTGTCTTTACTCCCGAGTCAGACCTTGTTCCTTAAATGTTCCCTTCACTTGGCAGCTCTGTGCATGCACACATCGGGAACAGGCTCCAGTTGTTCTTCTGCCCCACTGATCTCCGACTCTGAAGGCAGCTGATAACTGTTGGATGGCCCTGGCACCATCTTTACCTCCGACGTAGAGCCTTCCCCAGACTTCAGGACTGGCCCATCTTCCTCCCCACCCTCCTCACAGTCTGAGTCTGCCACCAGCTCCGCTGGCCACTGGTGGGCCACAACAGGGATCCCCTTTTGCGACCTTCTGACAAGCAAAGTCCATGTGGGGAGCCGCATTCACTTAACAACTGGGTTACTAGCTTATCAACTTCCGTGATTTGTTTTACAACGGAGGCAAGAAAGATCGTTAAACAGGGCAACACTCTCTTAACCCGTGTCTCCCTTAACAGCAGAAATCTTGGCCGCAATTGTGGTTGTAAGTAGAGGACGACCTGTATTCATACATCAACTGTCTCGCTTAGGCCTGAAAATTTGGGGCTCCCTTGTCATAAGCCGAGGACTTCCAGCAAAGGTGACACCTGTTTGCATAGGACGTGTATGTATAATTCTCCTTCTCCCGCCAGGTAGCCGAGGGATGTCCTGCAGAAGATGCTCCATTGCCACCAGTCTATGCACCTCCTTCCTCTCCTACCCCACAGATGGCCCATCAGCCACCTCTCCAACCTCTGGACGAGCCCACCTCCTGTCCAGAGGGATCCCCCAGCAGCACGACTCACAAGGAGACCCCGAACGGTGAACCCCATTTCTGCGTAGGCTTCACTGGTCTCCCTTGCAGGAGCAGAAACCTTGGGCAGAAGAACGCCAGGCGCAAAAGGGATCTGGTCTTATCTGTGAGTCGATTCCCTTCCTTGGAGTGAGCTTGTGACCCACAAGACACGTGCCTTGTCTGAATTGTGTTTTTCCTCACTTGGGACCCATGGCATGATACCGTGTTTCACTGAAAGTAAGATATCGCGTATTTTTCGGAGTATAAGACTCACCTTTTTCCTTCAAAAAAAGAGGCTGAAAATCTGGGTGTGTCTTATACACTGAATACAGCATTTTTGCCTCCCGAAATCCTGCCTCCTACACCAAAATGGTCGTGCATAGCCTTTAGGAGGCTTCTAGAGTGCTCCTGGGGGCTGGGGAGGGCAGAAATGAGCAAAAACGGGCTGCTTTTTGCTCAATTTTGCCCCCCCAGCCCCAGGAGCACACTATAAGACTCCTAAAGGCTATGCATGCAATTTTTTTGACAAAAAACGGGCCATTTTCTTGAAAAATGGGCCGGGTTTTTTGCTCGTTTTTGGGGGGACACCCGCCAGGAGTACTCTGCAAGCCTCCTAAAGGCTATTCATGCCTTTAAAAAAAACGGGCCCATTTTTGCGAAAAACGGGCCCGTTTTTGCAAAAAATGGGCCATTTTTGGGAGGTCGGCAGAGGGCAAAAACTTTTTTTAAAATTTGCCTCTTCAAAATCTTGGTGCATCTTAAACTTCGAAAAATACAGTATATCGTTTCGGACCAAAAGAACCATTAGGTCTTATTTTCTGGGCTGTCTTACTTTGCGACCTCCTCTCTCCTACCATCTGCTTGCTCGCGGCCACGATGGTTTACAGCATCTGGACCGGGAAATGACGGAATGCTGGAAGCTTTGAAGCACCCCATTTGCAAGCAGATGAAGTTTTGTCTCCCTCTGGGTAAAAAGTGTTTAGGCGCCTATGGGGCGCTTGGGAACAAAGTGATTCTCTATGTTCCCAAGTGCCCCAGAGGCGCCCAAATACTTTTCACCCCAACGGAGAAATGATGGTATATTAGACGTTTCAGGGCACTGAAACCGGAGCTAACTGTGAAAAGTACATGCTGGGGGTTGAGGCAGGGTAGGGGTGGAAGAAGGCGATCCAACGTGCTGCGTTGTGTCGCATCAACTCTTGGCTTCCCCAGAGCTGTACCAGGGTAGGTGCCCACGCGGGGCATTGGAATCGCCTGCCTCCACCCCTGTGCCTCTATCTCCACCAGCTGCTGGTGCCACTGTGCAAGCCGCCTGCGAGGCTCCCATGAGTCACGCCGCACGTCCTGTTCACTTGTCTCCCCCCTGCTTCTGCCTTCATGCTCAGACTTGTCTGCACTTCGCCATGGACTGCAACTGCTGCCAGACGCCATCGCCCCCACCACCACGCTCTCTGCCTCTTATGCTGGCCATATCGATCCCCGGGCTTATTTTGGGGGTAGGGTTTATATTAGGCCCACCCTAAAAATCAGGCTACAGCTTATTTCCAGGGTGGGTCTTATTTTGAGTGCCCTTCGGGGAAAAGGGCAGCATATAAATGCAATAAATTCAAATTCAATTCAATTTTCAGGGGAAACACGGTAGTTCATCCGATCCTCACATTCTTCTCTCTTTCCCTTGGTAGAAATTGGTCCACAACGTTCACAACCATGTCGCCAACGAAAAACGCTTTGACGGTGCGGAAAGGTGAGGAAAAACCAGGCGTTGCTAATTGCAAGTAAAAAGAGTCGTGGTGGCCCAAGTGGTTAGAATGGGGTAGTGCAGGCTGAGTCTGCCCCGCTGCCAGAAGTTTGATCCGGACCGGCTTGAGGTTGACTCAACCTTCCGGCCTTCCGAGGTCGGTAAAATGAGGACTCAGGTTGCTGGGCTAACTCTGTAAACCACTTAGAATGGGCTGTAAAAGCATGGCGAAGCGATATATAAGTGCTATTGCTACAGATAATCCTGGACTTACAACCATTTGTTTAGCGACGATCCAAAGTTGGTGCTGGAAAAAGGGACAGGTCCATTTTTCACACTTACGATCGTTGCAACATCCCCATGGTCACATGTTCAAAATTTAGACATTTGACCATGGACTCCTATTTATGATGGTCGTCGTATCCTGGCAGTGGTGGGTTCCGGATCCTGTTGCAACCGCTACGGTGCAACAGGGCCGGGCGCCCACCACATGGACGTGCGCAGTGCACGCTTGCATACTTACCACCGCAACGCCTCCGTGACGCTCTGCAATGCCTCCGCAATGCTCCAGCTGCTCAGTGGAGGGTCACTC